TAGTTTAACAAATTTTTAGTATTCATTTCCCGTGATTAATTGTTAGTCACGGTTAATTACCATGAACAATGTAAAAATTATTTTTGCAAATAATCAAAAGTATTAAAAAAATAAATTTTAGTTCACAAAGCAATAAAATTTGGCTAAACATATTTTTAAATCAATTCAAATTATCTTCCTTTTGTATAAGACAACTCCATAATTGAGGTTAGAAAAACCTATCAATTGGTTCACGAATTGCAATCCGTATTAAATTGTTACCATTAATTTTTGCAAACCCTCCCATCTTCCCGCCTTTGTTTCCCGCTCTACAACCCAAACTTTTGGCTCTAGAAACTTTTGGCTCTACAATCCTAAACTAGCTTATTACCCGGCCCGTTGGCCGGATTACTGTATGTTACCCACTTGTGGAATGGGAGAGAAAGCAAGTGAGAGTGAAGGGATTGGGATTCCATTTGATTAGGACCGACCCACTAATCCAATTCTTCCCGACCCGCCCCAACCTACAGGGCCAGAAAGAGTCAATAAGAAAATACGAACGGGGAGGATTAGTCATATATCTTGACTCTTCAGAAGTGGGTCAAACAGGATCAAGGTTGGGTGAGGACAATTTTTAGCGCTAAGCAGAGTTCTGGGTTGAATACCTTTACTTAGGCCTAGAAATTGGTGCTGATGCAGACTGCAGTTTTTATTATACCATCATCAATCATCATTGAATTAGTCCTGGGCATCCCTCCCCGTTGTCGGTCTGAATTCTAATGATGGCTTCATTCCTTGCACCAGCCATATCAGCGAGTTGCCATCTCAAGCATGATTTGCCTATGTACAAATAATACAATTAGAGTATGAAAATGAATTCAATGAAAAGGAAAAGAGAATTCTATCACATGCCAATAAATACACACATAATAGTTGAAGCTAAGTGAAAGTCATTACTCGCACATCAATTCTCAAAAATTACAGACTAAACATTGGCTAGAATGGCACTGAAATTACCAAGAATCATCGACGAAACAACTTGTCAAATTAAATAATCCTTATACTGAAACTACCTTCTAACTTGAAATAAGACATGATCACAGTTCATAGCTCTCTTCTCACTATGAATTGGTTGCAGCTCGTCCTTATCACTGCCTCTCAAGCTCAATTCAAACAGAATAGAGACCGTTATGTAAGATAACCATATTCTTACTGATCATAATTCCTTTCTTCACTCCATTTTTGTCGGAGAAAAGAGTTATCCCCCTCTCCTGCATTTCCCTTTCCCCCTCTCTTCTCCCTCTTCTTCACAAACCGATCCCTAAACCAGCAACAACAACACAAAAATAGCATTCGCCTCTCCCGTCTCCATCTATTGAAAGCGTTGGTGGCAAGACAGGACTGCAGAAGCAAAATTTTCTAAAATCAAACTAAATTTTTGAAGCAGACTCAACCACGAAAAAAGAGTAAAGCAACAATGTAGTAGAACCCTAAATTTAACTACAATCAAGCACATATCAGCAAGATTTTCGATTTGTCTGAGAGTTAACTACACGGAGAGAACAATTGATGCATAATTGAAATGCTCCAAGCAAGTCGATGGCAAACCATAACTTTAGAATTTGATCATTATAATAACCTTCAAGTATTGATGCTTCTAAGAACTATCATGTCCAACCCCCACTTATACAACTACGTAGCCATAGTAATTATTTGTATAATGAGAAATATTACAAAGAAAACTACATAAACAACCAATGTAAGTAAATATTAAAACTAACAACTGATAAAACTTAAAATCTCTCTATTGGTATAAATGTATCTATTAGTAACTACTATGCAATCGAGTATATATGATTTTTAGGCACTGAATAAGAAAAGTATAGATGGCTCACAAATGAAGACGTAGCAACTGAAGGTAGCACACAAAAACCAAAAATAGAAAAAGAGATAAGAAAAAAGGCGAGAAAAAGTCAAACAAAGAAAAAGCCCACATAGGAATACCTCGCTAGCTTTAGGGACTCTCTGCCACAACAAACAACCTTCTTAAAAATCTAACACCCTGAGACATCAAACAAACCTCCCACGACACTAATGTATGGCATTCCTATTGTCCAATAGGTTTGCCCAATTTAGACTTCTAAATAAATGGACTTTTCACCATTAAACCAAAACTCACAATCATTAACAGTTAATGCAAAGACATACATTTCCGAGGCCAATCACAGCATTTAAGCATAATTTTTAGTTGAAAAGAACAACTAAGTATTTAGCTAAATGATATAGTAGAACGGACACAATCTGCTACCTACTAATGATATAAACGTGTACCGGTACCATCGTTGTATCTTGACTTGCCATTTGCAACGGGCACTTTGAAAGACAGCTGCATTTTAGAGAATAAACACCCATAAGGGCGTTACGAAACCAAGCTTAATCCAAAATCTTCATATTCCACTTCGAAGACTCCATTTTCAAAAATAAGAGAGTTTAACATGTCAAATCACTCATTTGAAAAATCTCAAACAACTATTAATCAATGCAATATAATGGCACGTTCCAAATTATGTACTTGTAGGAATAATCCCAAATAATTATCAATTAATGCCCCAACTACCTAATGTGCAGAATAGCCCTGGAGCTGTGCTGTTGTTTGCATTGGTCTACCTTCAAACATAACATAGTTGCATCACGAACCAAAGCAATTAAGCAAAAATCTTCATATTCCAAGTAGAATGACTCAATTCAATTTGGCCAACGCTTTATACATATTGTTTACCCCTGGACCTGTTGCACTTGCGCCTTCAGATCTTCGTGAACACAATACAACTGCGGAGAGGAGGCTGTCAACGAAATAAAAATTGTTAATTAAGTGAATCACCATACAACTAAACAAACGCGCTCTTCTTGATTAGCTATCAAAATAGTGGGGGTCGCTACAATCCATCGGTTGCTCCCTCTGCGCCTAAGTTGTAGATATTAGGTTTCAGTGAGAACTTTGAGTACATGAGAAGATATTTTGTAGTGGAGGAGATGACCCGGCGAGTAGAATAGGAAGATTTGGAGAGGCTGCGATGGGCAAAGCAGTTGAAATCGAGATTTTACCTAAAATCGAAAACTGGGGTAAAATCAAAATCGTATAATCGAATCGTAAAATCGTAGGATTTTAAGTACCATATAGAACATAGCATATAAGAATATTAATAAGGTAAATTATTAATATCACAAAGACACATAGCATTTAAAATGATAATTCAGAAGATTTTTTTTCCATAAGATAATTCTCAAGATTAATGTTCCAAAATCACTATTTTAATTGTTATTTAATGTATAACTCAAAATAATTCATGATGAAGGGATATAGTTCATGGGTTTGGCTCTTATTTTCATGTTATGTCTAGGTTGTTTAACTCAAAGTAATATTTTGACATCGTCTACTAAGTATGATTTAAAACTAAAAATAATTGAACTCCAATAAAATAAGTAATGTTAGTGGCTTGGTACAAATATATTCATTAATAAATTAATTAGTTAATAATGATGTTAGTTCTTACATACTTCCAATATTAGGACAGGTGTTTTACCAATAAGTTAAATGGGGTGAAGGGAAAGAGATTAACCGAACCCTAATTTGGTTATTTTTATTATTTTTGAATATTTTTCTAATAGAAAAATATCTGAGAAGATTCCATTGCCCTTTCCGCTGAAACAGTTATACTTATTTTAAATTGGCTCAAACCACCTATTTTGTTCTCTTACGATCAAAATCCCGATTTCGGTACTATTTTACGATTTTAACGATTTTAGTCCCGATTTTAAGGTCCACCGATTTTATAGTAAAATCAAGATCGGAATCCCTAAGTAAAATCCTAAAATCCTACGATTTTACGATCAAAATCCCGAATTTGACTGCATTGGCGATGGGTGCACGATTAGTGGGCCAAATAACAGTTTGGGCTCGTTTAAATGAAAACATATTTTTACTTTCGTGCTCAACAGACCGACCGCACTGGCATCTTCTAAATTTACCCCTAAAAAATTGCTCTGTACGCATCAAATTTGAAATGGAATCCCTATTTTCTCATTTCACATTTCACATTTATATGATGTGTAGATTGTGATGAGTGTAGATGTAGACCTGTCATTGTCCTACAAATTCATTAACACGCCAAAAAGTGGTGAAATGAGCCACCCTATTAAACACAATCTTGTATAATGATCATTGGATCCAATCATGCCAGATTATGAAGAAGTTTAAAATGTAGCGGTTATCCCGACTAAAACATTAAAAGAACCAGTCTCATATAGTTTGCACAAAGATATAATTTCTCCATAGTAATTCTGAAAAATAATATTAATTTAAGAAGTCGATATTGCTTCTACATGTTTAATATTGCAATTCGATATGCAATATTCAAACCAGTGATATTTGGGCTGCAATTTTAGGGTTATTGTATATTTATAAAATAGATAGAAATTTAAATTCAGTATTAAACTACAACTAAAACAATCAAAGTATTAAAACACCAAATAAGTACTTACGGGAGATTCAGTGGCCAACTAATCGTTAAAAAAGTCATATGATTTTCATAATTTAGGTTCGTGTATGTTTGAATTTAAATAGATACAATAAATATACTTAGTGTGAATGGTTATGATCCTTACTTGCCTTTAAAGAGACCAAGGTTCAAATCCCAATGCATGCATTTTTTATGAATAAAAAAATAAGCAATTGTGAAGACTAAAATGTCATTCCTATAATCACTCTCGTTGCAGGAAATTTGAAATGGAGCAACAGTTTTCATCATTCAGCTTTTATTTATTATCTAGATCTAGATATCTAGATAGATTATGGCTCCAAAAATATTTGGATTCACAATTCTCTAATTTTGGCTTTCCCGCAATTTCTATTATCGAGAACAATTGAAACGGCAGCATAACTTACCTCTCTTCTCTTCTGCTTTATAAAACTTCGCCACCCTCCCCTTCTGATTGTCGTTCCGCCTTCCTCCCTGTCGACCCCCTTGCCCTCCCTATACGGCGTTGTTGTTATCCACTCGCTCGTTTCTTCTTTTCTGTCATTTCCTCTACCGCTCAACCAAGCCATAGCCCATACCCACACACAAATCCCTGCATCTTTGTTCCAGGTGCCCACTACCTCCGCCTGCACTACAAGCGGCTTCATCGCCTCCTTTTTTAACTCATACAAAGACAAGGTAGATGCGCTTATGGCCAGGAAGATTAGTTGGCATCAACCCCCCTTCTCCATCCGCCTTCACTTCTTCCATTCTCGGCCCCTTCATCTCGGTGGCACTCAATGTATTGTACTCCTTTTCCTCTTTCCGATTATTGGGATGGTTTGATCTGATTTCATGCTTTAATTCGAATTTGGAGTTGAAAATTTGGCTTTGTGGTGAATTAGGGTTTGTAATTGATCATATTGTAGATTTTTCCAGCTTTCTGAAGTAAACCTATCTCCTTTTGATGGAGCATGGTGCATGGATTTGATCCCCTACCGTGATTTCTAACATTTTTTTTATACTCAGATTGAGCTTGTGTTTGATTGGCTAGTGAAAAGCGAAACACAGTTGGAGGAAAGGAGAAGAAACCCCAAAAAGCCCACTCCGTTCCATTGGTGTTCATTTTAAACTTTGCCCTGCCCTCACCTCATGAGGAAGGATCCACATATCTAACCCACATGAAGTTCGTTTCTCATATGCTGGGTGATAATAAAGTTAGAGATTAACCTTTTTAGTTATGTGGAGCTGTTGCTTTGATTTTGCTTAGTCCAGGATAGTTAAAGTTTCCTGTTCGAAGTGAATCTCGTTAAGAATTGGGTGTTCTTGAAGTTTCTTTCTCATGTGATTAATTTCTGAAACTGGAATGCTAGATGGATCTCGTTGCTACTTAGGTGATGTTGTTTTGCACTTCTAGTTCCTTTCTTTTCATTGGCGAATTATGTTAGCACAATAGCACTCATCTTGCTCAACATTGCATCAATTTCCTATCTGCCGAATTGCTCATTAGGGAATTGAGTTATGGTTTCACCCCTTCTTTTTTCAGGGGGCTTTAGTAGTTGTGTTATGAGCTCTTATCGATACTTAAGCTTCACCCTCAAGTGAGTTGGAAGAGATCAATGGGCTTACTTCACCTTTTCCTCGTACAACAGTGAAATAAAGAAATTCACAACATGATGTATGTTTTTGCTTTATGTTGAGTAGGAGTCACTATCTCTTTGTGGCTTTGCAATCCCTCTTCCTAATGAGCGTGCCATAGTGACACTATTAGTAGATGTATGGTGACTCTTTCCTGCTTTTGTTTGTTTAGTTTCAATGATGTAGAGGTGCTGGTTTGTTAGTGGAAGGTGCTGAGATGGGAGATCCAGATGCTCAATATTATTGCTTTAGGAACTCTGGCACATATTGTTGGAGCATAGCTCAGTAAGGTAGTTTCACGGTTCAACATAGCAGGCATCAACTCTCAAATATGGAAAAATATATATATTCCCTCTCTTAGAATGCTTCACATCCATCGCACATGTCTAGATTTCAATTTTATGTATGCATCATATAATTGTTTTCACTGTCTATGCAGCATTGATGAAGACTATTGCTCTTTCATGCACCAAGTACAAGATAACATGTTGGCAAAAGTTAGCTATGAACGAGTTTCATTTAAGTTCTACAAAATGTATGTTGATATCTTTGTCATTAAATAATGGACTCAAAACACCTTTTATTATACATGGGCAAATCTAGATTAGATTATGAGAAAGTGTTCATGATGTAATCTAGAAAATCAAATTAATTTAACAATAAGTGCTAAGAATTGTGCTTTACATGATGGTTGATTTGCTTATGAGACTAATGGACTAGAAATCTTGGGATGATTACAGAATGGTAACCACTGCCTAGCTTGTTGAAACAAATACCAGAAAGTTTAATCACTAGTTATGTGCTTCTTTCTGCCAATGATTTTACAGGTACAACTACAAGCTGGGGCGAGATTGTTGAAGGTTTGTAACTTGCAGAAGTCCATTCCTCATGATGGCGGACATTCTAATGCAGCTCCTGGCTCTAGTAGTAGTTGTGGTACTGGTGGTAGGGCCTTTGTCTCTACTAGTATTTGTGGTTCTATCTCCTCTATTTCCTATATTGACATGTTCTAATTGTGTCTATGCAGTTTCAGTTATGTTGTGTATAAAGAGGATTATAGAGACGCTGCTAGGCTTAAGGTTGCAATTGTAGCTGCCGCAATGAATGCCATCGTTGGCAAAGTGATGACACATCTGATCATTTTGTTGTGGTTGTTCATGGCATATACATGGTAAGTTCGTTGCCCATTTAAGGAACTTGAAATGCTGGTTCTTTCTGGGGCTTTTAGTTGCCATGGGTTCAAAGGGTTTCTCTTAGATATGAAGTATTTTATACTGGTTTTTCAGCATTACAACTACGGATTGGTAGTTTACAAATTTGATGAGTTGAAGAAGAATCAGTTGTCTATTGGAGGTTTGGTACTACAATGAGAAACCAGATTTACCTATTAGTAGGAAGTTGTTACTGCGCTAGTTATATTTGCAAGATTTTGTGAATAAAGGGTATTTACTGCTGGTCTTATCCTACAGAAAGCTAAAGAAGAGATGTTGTCCAGCTATATTTATTGATGCCCAAAACATATCCATGTGTACTTTGTATCATCTCTACCTTAGTATTCTTCACGAGTAGTGTGATTTTGTGAATCTCTTTGGTCTTTTTCGTGAAATTGTGTTCTCTTTCATCTCTACTTGAACTCTAGAGTAGCGTAATGTACATTCAGCTGTTGGTGGAAATTGTAGCTACTCAAGAATATTTTGTAGAAGTATAGACAAAAAAAATTTAGATAATTTTCGATGATTTGGTAAGATTGATTGGAATTGGGATTGTAATTAATTTTATTATATCGTAATTTCTTGCTATAATATAGTCAATAAGTGGCATTTGAACTATTGATTTTCATATACGAAATTTTACGTGTCATGAAAATATTGTTTATAGTGTGATTGATAATTATTCATAATAAAAAACCATGACCAATTGTTAGTCTCTAGATACGGTAGAACCAACCAAATACTATGACTAATGATTGCCATCTAGTCACGGGAACCAATTTTGTCACAGTATTTACTGTGTTAAAAGGTGCGCATCCTGTCTCTAATTGAGTTTTTTTGTTGGTTTTGTGTGGCAATATTTGGTATTAGTCATGAGGGTCCCGTGATTAATAGGTACAAATTATTACAGGAAATTATACCGTGAATAATTATAGCTAGTCACGGTACATATATCCTGTGACCTGTACAATTAGACACGGAGGTATATATTACGGTAGTTTTACCATGACTAAAACTATTAAACACGGAAAACACACTTTTAAACACAGAATTTCCCATGATTAAATGGTCTTTTTCCTGTAGTCAATGGTGAAGGGAGGGGGAATGGCTACATGATGATTATGCAACATGTGGGTTTCTGGCCCTGCTTGCCTTTTTGTCTCTCTCTCTCTCTCTCTCTCTAGTGATAAAAGACAGAGGGAGATGATGAGGAGTTAGCTTTGCTGCTGGGCGTTGCTTGGAGCCAACAAATCAGAGGAAGAGAGAAAGAGGGGAAACGAAAACATGGCGTGGTGTACTGCTAGAAGCTGTCGAGAAAACCGCAGGGACCAGGGTTTTTAATGAAGGGGGTCGGGCTGTTGAGGTCCTTTTGTATTTCTGGAAGAAATGGGGGGAAAACCGTTCGCACCACTCTACATCCATTATAACTTTCTCCAAATATCAAATCGGGCCGGGTCCAAAACCGCCGACGGGTAGTGCCTCTTGAGTTTTGGGCCATGGAAGAAATTGTGTGAGGAGTTTGAAATTCTCTCAACCATTCGAGTTATCATATATGATAAATTGATGTCTATTCGTAATAGCATGTGATTAAAGTTCATGAAGCATATTCATTTGTGATCATAGTGGACTAATGAGGATGCCATAAATATTGATGTTCTCATAATATCAATCCAACGAATCCTAGTCTGATTCTTGCAAGTTTCTTTCATGGGGGAACACTGTGGACAGAATCCATTGAGGTATTACTTTAATTCTTTCGCCATTAGATTCTCGTTATAAACTTTGGTAAAATTTATAAATAAAAAAACAAATTGGTGTTATAAAGCGAGAAATCAAACTTGTGTTGTATCGTCCCTCTCTGTTTTCTTCTGCAACAGCTTGCTCAGCATCGTGCACTGACCATGGCGTGGGCAGCAACATACCCTAATTACTACTCGAAGAGGGAATCTCTCATCCGCCTAACCCACTTTTGTCCCCCCTCCCATAGTAAAAAAACCCTTCTCTCTCTCTCTCTCTCTCTCTGTAACTGTCTTGTGTGCTTTTAAGATGTTGGAATCATGAAGCAAGCAAGCAAACCGGTAGGGGACGACTGTTTTTTACTCTTTTTTCCTTTTAACTATTGGGGATGGTACCCTAGATGATGCTAGCCTCTCATGTTCCACCCCAAATTATAGAATGTCTTCCATCTGCTCTTTGTCCTGGTTACTAGTAATATTAGAGGTGGGTATGATGATCAAGTTGGATATGTACTCACGATCAAAATTAGTATGGAGCACATAGAAGGGATATCCGGCTAGTTAATAGTGGATTAACCATAATCGACAGTTAACGGTATCGGTAACCAACTATAAGTTAACGGTGCAATTATCACTAAGTAGGGGTGGAGTTTCGGTTAGTTCGGTTATAACCGATAACCGATCGGTCGAATATCGCTTAATCGAACTGCCGACCCCTCTTACCAACAACCGACCGAAATAGGGATTTAGGCTTCAGTTATCTCGGTTTTTGGTTAACCGAACAACCTCCAAAACCAAATCCATCTGTGCCAGCCTCCGAACACCGATTGAATTTTGGTTATCGGTTTGTGAATAATCGGTCGGTTATCTATTTAACCAGCCGGTTAACCGGTAATTGGTAACCGAAACTCCACCCCTATCACTAAGCTGATATGACTTTCATGTAACCGATAACTGAATGGTCAGTTAACAGCTAAACTGAAATCTAACTGAGTATAAATATGTATTTTTCTCTCCCAAAAAACGACGACGTCCCTCCAAATCAAACTCTCTAACAAACAATCGCCTTCCCCCTTGACCCTATTCGTTTTTTTTTTTTTTTTTGGTGAGACCCTCTTCGTCTTTCCTCCAACTCAGTTCACACTCGTCACTCTTTCCTTCTTCTCTTTGTTTTCCTCTCTCGTTCACAACATAAGCAACGAGTCAAACTCAAATCACAGACTACCTAATGATTAACCGATAACTGGATAAAATGTTGCAGTTATAATGGAACCGAGCGACTAACAAACCCCAGTAGCGCATGAAAAATATGAATAAAATGCAAGGATCATAATTAGATAAAAAATTAGTAGGTTTCATAATGTCAAGGTGTATAGGGGGTTTCGAGTCGACTTGTTTATGCGACACGATGTGGATCGAATGGTTGTAGTCCCTACATTACAAAAAAAATAAAATATGCATGCATTTTGATAAATAAATTTAACTATTACGAAAGCAAATTTTATCTTATAATTATCTAATAAATTTATGTAGAACAACTCATTCAAGATATTGAGTCAAATTGAAAGAATTCGAAATTTTTTCAACAATAAATATGGTGTATTGAATTATTATACAACAAAATTTGGTCGATCCAGAACTTATGCCAAAGCCAATGCGCCATATCCTAGAGACTAGAGAGGATTCTCAGGGCATCAATGTATTTAACTACTCAATTGGGAGTAGTTGGCACAAATGTCTAATCCTCCACCAAATCTTTAATTCCGTTTCAGGAGTTAGAGAGTTTAGAAGGTAGGGCATCATAATTTTTGGCCTCTAGTTCTACGCGTGAATCTCTGGATATTTTATGAATATTATGAATATAGAATATAGTTCCCATAACAGAAATTCGCTTCTTCAAAAATAACACTTCTCCACAGATCTCTATTCCTGATTCGGATCATTAGTGAATCAAATTCTCCAGCTCTACCATCCATCTTATGGATTAGGCAGATGGCTGTCCCAAGAAGTCATGGTGTACTTGGGAAGGGCTAAAAAGCCTAAACGGATATTTTCCAACTGAGCTACTCAATTTAACTTAGAGTGTTAGTGTAATACCTTTTCTCAACTCGGTATTTCACTTTATCCTCAGTTATGGCAAAAATCCCTACAATCATAAGAAATCATTTGAATTGGATGTATTAATAGATTAGGGTAAAATATAATTGAATTTTTTTTCATGATGCTGAAACTCGAACAGCTAATGAATGTACATAATTTTCTCGATCATCCAATCCAAAACTGCTCAATTATATATATGTGTATTGTTTATAAATTGTCATTGTTTTCTCAACATATTCAATATTTAGTGTACATATATAAATTTACATGTTTTCTGATAAAATATGAATATAAATTCCTTTTCTAATTTGATTATGTGCGAATGTAGAAATGAGTAAAATCAAAACTATTTCCGATAGAATAACCCATATATCCACTATCTAACCAGTTGTCATGCCAATTATACTATTTTGTCCAAAATTTTGTTTAAGGTTTGTATTTGTAAAGCAAAAGTTAACCGAAGCTATGAACAAGTTTATTAAAATTCAAGTAATAGAATAGTGAACCAAGACTGATACCCCAATTTATAAATAAATGCTCAGAGGGGGATTAAACATCTAGCGGGGATAGCTCAGTTGGGAGAGCGTCAGACTGAAGATCTGAAGGTCGCGTGTTCGATCCACGCTCACCGCATAATATATTTTTTCATCTAATTACGTAAAAACGCCAAAAACTTTAAACCATCCGGTATTTGGGCTGAGAGAGTTGGGCTTCGACTCCCTCAACCCACAACCTTCTTCCCCAGCCCAACACGCACACGGTTCAGCCCAAATCACCCAATCCAAACGACTATGCCTCCCCACGCTAACCAACCGGCGTCTAGGATAACTTGCGAAGTAATTAATCAACGCACACACGCACGCACACGTCCTTCTCCTCTTCTAATTCTGTTTCCTAGCACTCCACATACTTCCCTCTCTCTGTTTTTATCTTCCCACCTTAGCCGCATCCCACTAATTGCGGTATCTTTCAACAACAACAACAACAGCCAGACGACTCCTGCGCCTGCTGACGAACGGTCTCTCGTCATCGAATCGATTCGAGAGCTCTCCGTAATGTTGCGGCTGGAGGTTTCATGGGATAGAAGGAAGCAGAGCGGCCAGGTACCAACTTCAATCTTAAATCAATCATTAAATTAAGCGTATGATCAGTTAATTAATCTCTTCGTAATCCTGGGTTCTTAACCTTTAATTACGTGTATAGGTTGATTTCAACGCTGGCTTTACCGCTCCGCCTGCACACCTCGCAATCCTCTGCCTCGCCTCCGCGGTGTCCGGCCTCGCCGCCGCCCTCCTCGCCGGGAGAAGGCTGCTGTGGGCGGTGGAGCTCACGTTTTTATCCGATGTTGGGAACATGCTCGCCCTCTCCGCTTTGCTCCCCATCCTAACCAAAAAGGTAATTGATTAATCGATAATCGAGATCATTAGTTAATGATTAACCTAATCCGCGTCATTATGAATTCGTGTTGATTAATTGGAGTGGATAATACGTAGGTGAAGGAGAGCAAGTTATCGGTGACGTCCACGGCGGAGAGCCACAAAGTGAGCTTGGTGGCGCCGGACGTGGCGTGGCAGTCCGTTGCGCTGTTGTCGGCGATGACATTGGGAGCGGCGTGGAACGCCGCGATCGTGTACGGAGCGAGCTCGTCGTTGGCTCTGCTGCACTCGGTCGCGTCGTTGAGATCGTTCGTTGCCATGGTTCGGTTGGGGCTTCCTCAATCGGTTGCAGATTCCAAGGCTTCCAATCTCGTCTCCTGCCTCGTGGGTCTTCACTTGACTCAGGTAATTGACTTGCGAGTTTGAAATTTACATCTAAAGTTTTAAATTTAGAAAATACAATAGTCAGATACAGTTTAAGCCCCTTCCCTTAATTACTACTGTTCAAATCAGTCATTTCTTTCAAATTCCTGACTTTGCGACGGATGATTACGGATAGCTATACTGAGCACTTTTACTATACTATAAAGAATTGGTGCTTTAATGTATAGTTTGAAGTTGTACCATAATGTTAAATGTATAAATTCAGGTTGTACCTTAAAAAAATTTGTACCCTTATGTTATGATACAACTTTACAACTTAAAGTTGATAAAGTTGTATCATCATGTAAAGGTACAAGTTCAAGTTGTACCATAAAAGAATTTGTACAAAAGAGTATAGGTACAAATATGAAATTGTACCATAACGTTAAATGTACAACTTCAAGTTGTACCATAAAGACAAGAACCTATAGCACCAAATGCTATATAGCATTAAAAAATTCCTATACTGTTGTAGTCAATTGTACATATTTTAGGTTATAAACTTCTATGAAAGACGTACTGGTATTTTGGCTTTGCAGATGATCGGTGAGAACTTTTTGGGAACAGCCGTGGTTGAACATGATCAAGAGGAGGTTGGCAGTTTGAAGGAGTCTTGGATTGACACTAAAGTTAGAAGATCAAAGCATGATATGGAAGTGGATGCTTGTGGTGAGACAGAGAGTTCAATCACTGAACAAAGCAGCGCGAAATATTTGACTGAAGATGAAATGATGGGATCAAGAATCGGGGATGAGGAAGAAACTGACAGGGGTGAAGTGGGAGATCATGGTGAAAAGAATGGGACTGCAACTGGTGGATCAACGACTGAAGATGGAGATGCACAGTTAGATGGGTGGGATTGGGAACACATAATGGAAGGGTTATGAAGTGGGGTTAATGGCTGAAACACTATACTACAAAAAAAATCGACAGACATAACGTTTTTGGTTGTATTTTTTCTTTTAATAATATTGTTTTAGCAGTTGGCTAGAGCTACATTGTTCTATATATAAGCTAGGATTTTTAGCCAAGAAGACATAATACTCCGAAAGTTTTCGTACTTTTTACAGCTTTGCTATTTGCATTCCAAATTCACAATCCAACCGAGTTTGGGTTTCTCTCATAGCATCTGCCACCTGCTATGAGCTATCCATAGTTAGATTTTACTGACGTTTCTCCAATAAATAACAACTAGTTCGTATCGCCACGCTCTGCTGTGGCAATTGTGTAAGTGCGTATTATTACTAATCCAACCGTCTATGAGATCTCCCATTACGGAGTAACATCTTCATTAGAATATTTTTGCTTTAATTTTCACTTTAGGTAATTAGCAATAATTTGTCTCTGCATTTACTGAATCTTTTTCATGAAGCTTGGTGATGATGTTAGCTGAGACTTAAAATAATATTTTCTTCAAGGGAGATTATTTTTCCAAGAGAATCATTTTTATATGTATGTGACTTTCTGAAGGACGGTCGTGAATCAGAGAATGTCAATAAGTTGAGAGAAGCTCTTTCACTTCACCGTAGACGATCCCAAATTGAAAAGGCGGGTCTAGAATAGCAAGACCTTGACTCCACATAGTAGCTTCAGCTCGTGGTGGAATTCGATGGAGGCTTTCATCTTTGATATCTCTTAGACCCCTTCGAAGACATATGTGTCTCCATGTGAGATAGCATTTTCTTCGTAAATGCGTCGGATCTTTGATTCAAATTTGAACTTCATGGTGACTCCGTGGGAAACCATAGTAGGATTTTCTATTTGAATTATTTTGATTATACTTATTTAGCGACGTTAAGAGTTTTTTCATCTTGGAGAAGTGATGGTATTGGAGTTTACCCAACGAAATTCAAGGAAATTGAGGACAATGGTCGAGTGGGTGGTTGAGGAGATGTCCCGAGGAGCCGAGGAGGCGAAATCAAACTCAAGTGTTTAAGCGTACCGCAAGGTTTCCTATTGTGATTACTCGGAGAAAGAAAAATGTTACCCGTGCTTCTGCATGCCCGAATACGGCGGTTGAAGACAATGAGGAGCATGAAGAGGAGAAAAGAAGGAAATTACATGTCATAATTTGACGATCAAACTAAGATTGTTGACTGTTATTTAGGATATAATAGATGGAGTGTGACCAGAGACACACGTGAAAAGCTAGTAAACTAACCATTAATATAATAAAAATATGAAACAAATTGATAAATCGAGTAAGCATATATATAGCCATCAATCATAATTAAATCCTACACAGATGAAAAACTAAATTGGTTGCCGAGTTTCTCTATCGTGGAGATATTTGTTGGAGAGTATAACCCATAATCTGAAAATCCTCTCACATATGTTAGTAACACCCCCACACTGTCTAGTTTCACATTACATCACCCCACATTGAGTAGGGGTGGGCATTCGGTCGGTTCGGTTTTGACCGAACCGAAATTATGAATACCGGGTCCCCGAATTCTCCCAAACCTCAAACCGAATTATAATTTGGTTCGGTTCGGTTTTTCACACAAAACCGAATTTGTGAAGCTACTTATATTTTCTCACTTTTAAATTATTTTTAACCCCTAATATAAATAATAAATATCAATTATATGCATCATCAATAATAAAAGGGTAAATACAATTTAATATCCAAACCTTTTATTTTAAACAATATAATAGCCAAACCTTTTCGAAAACAATCTAATATCCAAATCGTCAACTTTTCGTTCGTTTGACCGTTAGTTGACACTTCAAAAAAGTTCGAAATACGACGTTTCATCAATATCCATCGATATCTTCTCTGAAAAACCACCAACATATCGTAGTTCCAAACCCGAGAAGTCCATGACTCCACCATGATGTTATAGAATATCTGAATATTCAGTCATCTGCAATGCCAAAACAAGAAAACAAAGTTGTATTGTGACAATTTCCCCTAAACAAAGCTTTTTTGAAGTGTCAACCAACGGTCAAACGGACGAAAAGTTGACGATTTGGATATTAGATTGTTTTCGAAAAGGTTTGGCTATTATATTGTTTAAAATGAAAGGTTTGGATATTAAATTGTATTTACCCATAATAAAATCAAACTTTTCAACACATAAGTCATAAAACATTTCAAATATGTAAGTCTAAAAACAACTACAAACATAAAAATCCACTATTTGGAGCTTTAAATTATAGTATTTTGATTTTTCGGTCAGAAATTCGGTTCGGTTAAAAGAATCCTGGTTTCCGAACTATCCATATTTTCCTTTCGAATTCCGAACCGAATAGCATTAATTCGGTTTCGGTTTGGTTTAATTCGGTTTCGATTCGGGTTTACCGAACCGTTTGCCCACCCCTAACATTGAGAATGACATAGAGCTTATATGTATATGAGAAAAAAGGACAATCTTGTGAAATTAGCAAAAGTCTTAGGCAATAGTAAAATTGATTTAGCTTTATATATACTAATTTTAGTTTACATTCTCTTTAAACGACCCAATTATTAATTCTGTCGAGCAACAAATCACTAGTAAGATTTAAGAGGGGTAGGAACTTAAATTGATTTTTTTAGAGGATGGAAGAACTCGTCAATCATTCTTTCAATAAATACATAATGGAAGGGTTTGTAAAGTGGTAAATGGCTGAAAGAGTAAGACTAAAGAAATCGACATAACTTTTTGGGTTGTATTTTCTTTTAATAATTTCGTTTTAGTCGTTGATTAGTTAGGGCTACATTCCTCTATATATAAACGCGAGGATTTTTAGTCGAAATGACACAACGAGCAGAAACATGTCCAAAGTCCCTGAAATAGCTCGACAATTTTCCTACTTTTACAGCTTAGTCATTTGCATCACAAAATTCACAATCCAACCGAGTTTGGGTTTCTCTCGAAGCATCTACCACCTTCCATGAGCTATCCATAGTTAGATCCTACCATTGTTATGAGACCAACTCCATTGCAAGCCCTCAAATTTGGGGATGTTTATCTCCAAATTTGGGGTTCATCCCCATTTTCCCTTCTTTTGCTCCAATGCTACATCCTCTATATTTGGAGATCTTCATTTTTAAGTTTTCCATTTACTTAAAAATGTACTTATCGAAGACTTAATATAATTTGTTCATGTTAATTTTTATATAGTTCGTCATCATTTTTAAATACAAATTTCCCGGTAGAATTTTTTTTAATTTTGAGACCAAATTTTTGTTGACAAAAATTGATTGACCTAATTTGGGTTTACACACAACACTTGAAAATTATTGATCTAATTAAACCCCTAACTAATCCCCTAATTAAACCCCCAATTAACCCTTAAAATCTTAAAAAGAAAAACAAATGCCACGTGGCAGGCTTTGGGGAGTCTCTATATTTGGGGGAACCCCCATTTCCACCCCCAAATTTGGGGATCCTTTTGGAGATCTCCCCCAAATATAGAGACTCCTCCATTTATAGAGGCTCCATTGGAGCCAACTGTCCCCCAAATATAGAGGCTCCCCCATTTATAGAGGCTCCATTGAAGTTAGACTGACCCAAAATATCTCTCCATTTTTAAAGTTTTGAATCCTTAGCAAAATAGTGTATTATAGGTGCACGAAGCATAGGTCAGAGGACGCCTGTTAGAGGAAAAGATGTTACAAGCGAAAAGATGGTTCAGTCATCATCGAAGCTGAACACGGATGGGATGCAATGCAAGGGAGCTCTCTGTACTATTAAGAATGTGTCATTTGTGTCCTAAAGTATCCAATATGACATTTGTGTACTAAATTATTTTTCCGTTAGAGTTGACCGGTGTTGACCGTTAGTATATAACAAATGGCACATTCTTAATAGTTCGGGTTAGGACATAAATGACACAAAACTATAATACGTTGGGACATAAATGACACAAAACTATAATGGTTGAGACACAAATGTCATATTAGATACTTTAGAACGCAAATGACACATTCTTAATAATTCGGGTTTCCTAGTGGTATTAGCCCTAACTCAAATTCCAAGAATCGACTCACTTCTCCATGTATTACTACCACTATATTAAACCCAAAAGTTGTTTGTATTAGCAAAAGACTTTAAACCATAAGTGGTCAAACAACTCATCTTCCGTGAGACGAGGAAAATGGGCGGAAGTTGGAAGCACTATATATAGTACGGCGCATAATCAATGATGTACAGTACTTTTGGAGCTACCCATGATTCGCCCGCCCAAAAGTACTGTACCATGCGACTTGGTACTTGGCTTCGGGAGAGAAACAGGAGTCGACGAGGGACTCATGTGGGTTCACTTTTGTCAAAGCTGGTTGGAAGTTTTGGTACAAAGAACAAGACCCTATTGAAACTTCGGCCAAATTTCGGCGACTATATGCTGATGATGAGTGTAGCTGTAAGTGCATGTTGATTGGCATTACATGCAATCATAATAATGTCAATCTGATTTATTTTGGGAGTTAGAATTGTCGAGAAATAATTTGACTTCGATAATTCGAGTTGTTAGATGTGATCCAAAAACGAATCTTATATATTTTCCTACACATCCCTCAAACAAAAATTATCCAATGAGGTTGAGAAATTTGCACAAATTCATAATCCAGCGTGTTTAAATCAAACTTTGACATTGAAGATCCTGAAGAGTAGAACACGTGACTACCCGTCAGTCAAATGCTCTTATACTATATCAAAAATTAAACTTGAATTGTTCAAAAAGACCACCTAGAGAAGATATATGAAAGAAATACTCTAAAGTAGAGGGAAATTGATTTGAACAACATATTTGTAATAACTAATAACTAATACCAAATTTGTATTTTTTATCGGGTAAATAGTGTTTCAGAAAACACATTATGTCGTGAGAGGCAGAGAGAGTGATGAAGTGGAGCCGACGAAGCATATTCAATATTTTATCGTTGCCTTGTGTTATTTTAAACAATATTAGGTGTTGATAAGAGCCTTTGTTTTATTATTGGATAAGAGAAATTTTTTTATAGTATCCGTTCGAGATATAAAAATACTGATTGGATCAGGTTTCTAGATCCAAAGCCTAGTTTGGAATTGGGGCTGAGGGGAAAAGCCTGGCA